TTACGCACGACCCAGTCTTTTTACGCAGCATACTAGGCTATAGCATAGCATAGCATAGCATGTCCCGCGGCGACAGGAGAGCAGAGAACGGCAGATCGATCAGCGAAACAGCAGGATTTGTTTTCTTTGTCTTCATTGTAACCATGGCAGCCAGAAAGAAGACTTTTTTGTCCGTCGAGGAGGCATTGGACATCGTATTTCAGGACTCTCCGTCGGAAGATAGTGATCTCGTCCCGCACAAAGGGGACAGTAATGACTCTGATTATGAACCTCCGTCACCGGAAAGGTAATCTCTCTGTTTGTATCTATTACTTATTTATTTGGTGTAAGATTATTCATCTGTTTTTATTTATTTGGTGTAAGAGTGTATTCATCTATAGTAATTTCACACACGTGACAATAACACGACGCCATCCATCTTGTGATATAATGTTCTTCACACACTCAACAACAAAGAAGATGGATGCCGTTTCTTGTTCTTGTTGTTGAAAAATACAAGACATGTTGAATTTAACACGGTATTACATTTCATTTAGCTGACGCTTTTATCCAAAGTGACTTACAACTATATATATATATATATACACACGCATATATATATATATATATATATATACATACACACATATATATATATATATATATACATATATACATATATGTACATACACATATACATACACACATATATATATATATATATATATATATATATTGTGGTGACCACCTATTAATACACTGGTTCATAATTCACACATGGAACTACAGTTTGGGTTTTGTTTCCACACGGACATGTTGTGTGTTGACTATATATGTTGTGTGCCCTCCTGGCTTCTCTCTCTTCTTCCCGGACTGCAACCGGACAACATGTCCTTTTCTACACTCTAATAAATTACCCTTTTGTACCTCCATTGCACCGCCTCCGACTCCCTATCTCTCGGCACTACATTGGTGACCCCGACAGCGTCTTGGGAAGTTTCCGAGACGGACCCGAACACGGCAAAGGAAACCCAGGTTTCTTTCTCGAAATGCCGGGGATTTTTTTGGAGTCGACCGTAGCTGCTACAGGCACGTGGACTCGTGGAATGGCTGAGGATGTTGCTCGCCATTCCCGCATCTGCCTTCCATCTACACGGAGACGATGCACGACCTGCTGGGTAGGGGAGAGAACCAGACTCCTTCCACGTGGGGTTGTTTCTTCGGGGCGTGCGGCTGCACGTCCCAGCTGCGCTAGCTATCGACGACTAGCAGCTAACCACGTTAGCTAACGGCTACGGCTAGCAGCTACCGATGGCTGCCAGCTAGCTGCTAACGGCTATCGATCCTTTTTGAGTTTTTTTTCTGGTGCCGGAGAGGAGGTTCGACCAGCCGGTTGACCTCATGTGGACACTCACATTTTTCACCACCTCCACGGCGGTTCTAGACGCCACTCACATTGAACAGCATCGGCGAGAGAACAGACCCCTGCGGTACCCCGTTCTTCAGTCTTCTGAGCCTACTGCACTGGCCACTGCTGGTCTGGAGGATGAAGCTACGGTTGGAAAGTGTCTCCATGATGAACTTCACCATGTGGCGGTCCGGTATTGTCCTCAGCAGCTTCAGGTGGAGTCCCCGGAGCCACACGGTGTCATATGCAGCAGTCAGATCCAGGTACACTACCCCAGCTTTCTCATTGTCCTGGAAGCTGTCCTTGATGTCCTGACAGAGTAGTGTTACCTGGTCTGCTGTTGATCTTCCACGACGGAAACCAGCTTGTTCCCGTGGGAGCTGTGAGTCCACCACTGGCTCGATGCGGCTATGGATCATCCTCTCCAAGATCTTAAATGGGACACAGAGCAACGAGATTGGTCTGTATGACTTGGGGTCTTCTGCTGATTTATTTGGCTTCGGCAGAGCTATGACAGAGGCACGGCGCCAAGTCTTTGGGAGCTTTAATCTTTGGTAGCATGATGTATAGAAAGCACAGAGCCAGCCAGTTGTTGTTGTGCTCTGGTGGATGACGAACTCCAGGTGGATGTTGTCACGGCCAGGGGATTTGCCTGGCTTGAGCTTGCTCATGGCCTCACTGAGTTCCTCTGCTGTGAATCCTCTCGAGAGGTTGGAATCGACACTGGCCGCTCCCGAGATGCAAGACACCTCACGCGATGTCAGTCGGGCAAAGGCTTTGTCAGCATCCGGGAAGCGGCCGTTCTTCAGGAGCTGGGATGCGATGGCGTTTGCTGTGACTGGGCAGCTGTGGGGTGTTGTATTTCTGCCTGTATCTCCAGCACCTCGTCTCCTGTTGGCTCTCCAGCCGACGCCAGCACCCCGAGTCCTGTCGGCGTACCGGCCGACTCCAGCACCTCGTCTCCTGTCGGTGTACCGACCGTCTCAAGTCACCTCTCCAGTTCCCTCTCAAGTCTCCTCTCAAGTCTCCTCTCGAGTCTCCTCTCGAGTCTCCTCTCGAGTTCCCTCTTGAGTCCCCTCTCAATTCACCCCTCCAGTTCCCTCTCGAGTCCCCTCTCGAGTCCCCTTTCAAGACACTTCTCAAGTCCCCTCTCGAGTTCCCTCTCAAGTCATCTCTCAAGTCACCTCTCGAGTCCCCTCTCGAGTTCCCTCTCGAGTCATCTCTCAAGTCTCCTCTCCAGTTCCCTCTCAAGTCTCCGCTCGAGTTACCTCTCGAGTCCCTTCTCGAGTCCCCTTTCAAGACACTTCTCAAGTCCCTTCTCGAGTTCCCTCTCAAGTCACCTCTCGAGTCCCCTCTCGAGTCCCCTTTCAAGACACTTCTCGAGTTCCCTCTCAAGTCACCTCTCAAGTCCCCTCTCGAGACTCCTCTCGAGTTCCCTCTCAAGCCACCTCTCAGTTTCCCCCTCGAGTCCCCTCTCAAGCCCTCTCTCTAGCCCTCTCTCAAGTTCCCTCTCGAGTTCCATCTCAAGTCCCCACTCAAGTGCCGTTGGAGGTTCCGCTGGGGGTCCTGCCAACTCCATGTCCTGTCCCGTTGGAGGCCCCGCTGACTACTCTCCTGCCGGGGGTCCTGCCAACCCTGTGTCCTGTGCCGTTGGAGGCCCCGCTGACTACTCTCCTGCCGGGGGTCCTGCCAACCCTGTGTCCTGTGCCGTTGGAGGTCCCGCCGACTACTCTTCTGCCGGGGGTCCTGCCAATCCTTTGTCCTGTGCCGTTAGAGGTCCCGCCGACTGCTCTCCTGCCAGGGGTCCTGCCAACTCCATGTCCTGTCCCGTTGGGGGTCCCGCCAACTACTCTTCTGCCGGGGGTCCTGCCAACCCTATGTTCTGTGCTGTTGGAGGTCCCGCCGACTACTCTCCTGCCGGAGGTCCTGCCAACACTATGTCCTGTCCCGTTGGGGGTTCCGCCGACTACTCTCCTGCCGGGGGTCCTGCCAACCCTATGTCCTGTGCCGTTGGAGGTTCCGCTGTGGGTCCTGCCAGCTCCATGTCCAGTCCCGTTGGAGGTCCCGCCGACTACTCTCCTGCCGGGGGTCCTGCCAACCCCTTGTCCTGTTCCGTTGGAGGCCCCGCCATCACCTGTCTCGTCGGGGGTCCTGCCAACTCCTGGTCCTCTTCCGTGGGGGATCCTGCCGAAGCCTGTCCCACTGGCTCCGGTTCCTGTTCGGCAGACACCGGGTCCTGCCCGGCCTCCGGAGCTGTCTGGTCTTCGCCCTTGAGCCCGGCCCCCTGAGAGCCCGGCCCCCTGAGAGCCGCGGTCTTCGCCCTCGAGCCCGGCCCACTGAGAGCCGCGGTCTTCGCCCTCGAGCCCGGCCCCCTGAGAGCCGCGGTCTTCGCCCTCGAGCCCGGCCCCCTGAGTGCCCCGGTCTTCGCCCTCGAGCCCGGCCCCCTGAGTGCCGCGGTCTTCGTCCTCGGGCCCGGCCCCCTGACTCTTCCTGCCGCTGCCTTCGCCCTCGTGCCTGGCCTCCTGAGTTCCCCAGCGGCCTTCGCCCTCGAGCCCGGCCCCCTGAGTTCTCCAGCCGTGGTCTTCGCCCTTGAGCCAGGCCCCCTGAGTTCGCCCGCTGTGGCCTTCTCAGCTCACTAAAATGAATGGAGAGAGAAAATAAATCTAGATCCTGCTTTTAGTGCATTTTACAACTTTAAGGACCGAATGATTCTAATAAGGGCTATCACATAGTTCATACTGGGTAGTTTATTTAGTTTAGTTAAAAATTATCCACCGGTATAGAGACGTCCTTTTCCCCATGTTAGTCAATGGTAAAAAGTTGATTTTGGGCGGGTGACGTCACGGACTGATACGGAAGTTGCAGTACCGCCGTTTGGACACAATGGATTTTGGGCACAGAGTCCGGCGCACTTCCTGGGGGAGATAGAGACTTTTCTTCATTATTGTCAGTATTAGCTTCTAATTATGAAGTATTTCAAAATAAAACTTCTAATATAATCTTTTAAGCATTTTTTCCATTCATCAACTTAACTTTCTCCTTGTTTTGGAGATGCTAAGTTAAAATTGTTTTGTTTCTCAATGTCATGACTGCAGAGATGCGAAAACTACTCAGGTCTTGTACTTGAGAAAAAGCAGAAGTACTCAAATCTTGTACTTGAGTAAAAGCAGAAGTACTCAGATCTTGTACTTGAACAAAAGTAGAAGTACTCTGATCTTGTACTTGAGACAAAGTAGAATCAATCAATCAATCAATCAATCAATCAATCAATGTTTATTTATATAGCCCAATATCACAAATGTTACATTTGTCTCAGTGGACTTTACAGTTTGTACAAAATATCAGTAGAAGTACCAGAGTGTAGGAATACTCTGTTACAGTAAAAGTCCTGCATTCAAAATGTTCTTCAAGTGAAAGTAGAAAAGTATTCTCATCTAAATATAGTGAAAGACAGTAAAAGTAGTCGTTGTTTGATTGGTCCATTTCAGAATAATATATATGATATGTTTTATAATGATTGATCATGAAAGTGTTCTCAAAGCTGGTGAAGGTGCAGCTAGTTGGAAGGACTTTGTATACTGCAGGGTAGCTGGTGGATTTACTCCAGGTGGAACTAAAGTCTGATTCAACACTTGGTTAGATTTCACATCATTCATCCTGATCTGTGAAGTAACTAAAGGTATTAAATACATGTAGTGGAAGAAAAGTACACCATTTACCTCTGAACTGAAGTGGAGAAGAAGAACAAAGTAGCAAAACATTTAGATACTCAAGTAAAGTACTTCAGAATTGTACTTTGTTACTGAACACCACTGGGTTTAATACACTACCTAAGTATATTATATTTACATCACCAGCACAAACAGGTACAGGTTTTTACAGTTTGATAATACAAAACAAATAAAACTCCAAATCGCACGCCTTGGTACCAAATGCCCCAAAATCCCAAATCTTACCCAGAAGTCAGTACCAATTGGTAAAATAAGAACAAGCCCTTATGTTTCTCATAATCCGGCTCCTATGCCTGACACAAATGTGAAAGGATGCAATGGATGCTGGTAAATTAAAGTATTTTATGTAATAAAGTAAACATGTACTTGAAAGAAAAGCTGCTCTCAGGAGGGAGTCCAGGAGAAAAGAGAGAAGGGAAGTGGCCTTCGCTCAGAATCTGTGTTACCTTCAAGGACAAGGGGGAAAATGTACAGGTAACAAAACAGAGGACAGGACTTCAACTGTCACACACTCCACGAGGTTTTTCCTTCAGCTCGAGTTGAGCGTTCTGTAAAGATACGGGTCCAGCTCTTTGAGAGCATTGATCAGAACCCTGCTGGCTGCAGCTCCTTTTTTTCGAACCACGTCCAGCACCTCAAGTGCTCCGTCATTTCGAGATTTGGTTCTGGCTGACTCCATTTCAGATTCAATGATAACTCTAGACTCAAGGAGTTTATCCAGAAGGTCCTTTAGGACAGGTGGAGACACTCTTTGAATGAACTCAGTCCGAACTGAGAGCAGCCACTGGTCTGCTGGGGCTCTGCTCTCTGATGGGACTCTGCTCTCTGATGGGACTCTGCTCTCTGCTGGGACATTTCTTTGGGACAATTCCTTCCTTGGATCTGGAAGATAAACAGGGAAAATACTTGTGTTAACCAACAATCACATTAAACAGATCTCTTAAAAATCAAAGTAACTCGACATTCCCAGAGGTGGATTTCTGTTCATTTAAAGTTATAATATGTAACATTTCCTCATTAAAATGTATAAAAACTCCTACACCTGTATTATTTATATTTTGTTGAGTTGTGTACATTATCTCAAATGGTTCAGAGTGATGTGTAATTTTAATCAAGGTCACAGTACGTTCATCACGGTCTCCTGTAATGGCGCCGTATCCACTTAATCATGAGAAGATGAAGACTACAACTCCCATGATGCCACGCTGTTTCACCACCACACTAGTTTTTACTATAGTTTTAGAATATAACAGGTTGTGTGTTTAATGTCGTAATGATGCGCTGCCATGGAGCCTTAATAGAGAATGCTATGAGATGGAGCTTTGGAGTTATCCAGTCTATCACTGGGTCTGAGCTCAGGTGGAGGCTTTACCTTCCAGTGACACGGGACAATACCAGACGACGTTTCCATCTTGGTCCTTGACCTTCAACACCACTTTCTCTGTGCTCGTCGTCAGGTAAACTAGAAATGTCGGATGGTAATTTGGTCCAAACCTGGATTCAAATTTTTTACTCTGAAAACCAGAAGCAGAAGTTAAAAGTTGATCTGGATCTTTTCCTGATTGTGGATCCACATGCAGATACATGTGTGTAAATGATCATTGTGTTTCTTTAGAAGAGTATCAGTGGCTCACCTTAGGGTGTGTGATATACACCATATCACAGTCCTCAGGTTCACAGTGCACACTGTAACTGTGATGAATGTCCAGCTCACAGTCGGAGGAGAGTGTGATGTGCACAGCACCTCTGTGTTTTTCAGCAACCTTCAGTAACAGGACATTTTGATCAATTTAAAACAACATGTTGACAGACCTGCTCTACAGATATATAAGAATTACAATCAATTAAGAATAACAGTATGTGGAAATATTGTGTGTAGATACATTAAAGTGTATAGGTTAGATATTTTTTGATGAAATTCCACTCCAACACATTCTCTATATATTTATTAGGGTTGTCAACATTAACGTGTCAAAACGATAGTTACGGCTGTAACTACGGTTCTATGAGTCCCGGATGCGGTGCTTTAAGCACTGGATATGTCCATCGGGCGCATGCGCAGCTCGAGTACCAATAACAACAAAGTCATCATATCAGCCGGTGTCGTCAGAGGATCTGTTCCCAGAATCTTCTCGCGAGCACACAAGAATTCTGAGTGACAGGGAACTCCGGGACATCCGGGACTCATAGAACCGTAGTTACAGCCGTAACTATTGTTCTATTTCGTCCCTACCGACCGCCAGAGGCGGTGCTTTAAGCACTGGATGACTTATACCAACAATGTCATGAAGAATCCAAGCCCTTGCTCACCACTGGAAACAGCGGAGCTCGGCAAAAGGACCACGCCCAAATAATGGGGAGTGGCGACATTGACCTGATGACAACTGGAGAATGTGCCAGAAGACGCCCACGACGCAGATGGTCTCCAGGGGCACCACCCTCAGGGCAGCCCAAGATGTTGAGATGCTCCTTGTAGAGTGGCATCTCAGCCTGATGGCAGGGGGCGGCCACTGGCCCCGTAAGCCTGTGAGATGGTATCGACAACCCAGTGGGGCAGCCACTGGTTAGAGGGCATAACCTCCTTTAGTGCCGCCAGGGCAAAATCAAGAGTTGCTCCTACTGCCGTATACAGGCAGTAGCCTTGATATACGCCCTTTGGGCACCCCCAGGGCACAGCAACTTCGACGTGCCGTACTCCTGAATGTCAAAGCGTGCCAGCTGGGCAGGCTGATTGAAGTGGGTTTGTGGAAGGACCCCGGGCAAGAATGCCACATTTGCCCAAAGGGCAACGCCTGAGAGTCCCACCTCGGGCATGTATTGTTTATGGAGAGGACATGCAACTCCCCGACTCGCTTCCCTGAGGCTATGGCAAGCAGAAATGCTGCCTTCGTGGGCAGACACCTAAGCCCCACCTGGGCCAGGGGCTCGAAGGGAGGAGATGATAGGGCATCCGGCAGCAGGTCCCAAGCCGGAGCCCTCGGGGTGCTAGGGGGACACTGCCGTAAAGCCCCTCTCATAAAGAGGGACACCGACCTGTGGCACCCCGCCGTGGCGCCGTCGACCCGAACATGTCGGGCAGAAATCGCAGCCACATAAATTCAGAGTGGAGTGAGAACGTCCACTATCTAGAAGGGACTGTTGTCTAAGCAACAACGTACATGCTGTCCCCAAGGAACACACACATTGTTGCCCCCCGGTTGGGGTAGAAAGTGCGTGAGTGCAAGCTGCACAGCCCGAAGCTCTAGCACGTTGACCTGGCGCGCACTCTCCTGGGCAGACCGCTGACCCTGAACGGTCCTGCCCTGCCGCATTGCACCCCACCCTGAGAGACATGCACCTATGGTGATGGTCTCCTGGCGGGATGGGATGGCGCCCATGGGCACGCCCACTAGGAGATAGGCCCTGCCCCTCCAGCGTGACAGAGAGTGGAGGCAATGTTGCGACACCCTGACTTCCCTGTGCATGTGCCACTTGGCGTCCAAGTGAAGGCTGTTCAGCCACATCTGCATGGGGCGCAACGACAGCGGGCCTAAGGGCCCAGCGGCCGAGGCAGCTGCCAGTCTGCCCAAGGGCCGGAGGAACTGAATATAAGGCACCATCTTGCCCGGCCCACGTGGAAGTAGGCATCCCTCAAGTCCACGGTTGAGAACCACTCCACCTGTGCATATGCAGTGGTCAGCATATAGAATGGCAGCACCTTCGGGAATCTGTTGATTCCTCTGAGGTCCAAGATCGGGCGAAATCCGCCGACTTTCTTGCTCACGAGAAAGTACGCCGAATAGAACCCCCTGGGCTACGCAGAGGGTCTTACTGGCTTGATTGCGTCCTTGGACAGAAGGACGGACAACTCTTGGGCCAGAGCTAGGGCCCTTGCCGGATCGCTGACGACTGTCAATTAGACCCAGCCGAAGGCTAGGGGCCAGAGCTGCGGTCCGTACCCCTGGGTTAAGGTGAAAACCATCCAAGGGACGGAAGTACAGACCGCCCAGTAACTGAGCTGCTGCTGGGAAAGCAGCCGACGACCGCCCCCGGGATTTCAGGGCCCAGCCCCCCGGCCCCTGGAGCCTCTTGGGGGGCGCCGGTAAGGCTCTGGGGCACGAGGCCGACTAGAAGGTGGGCGACCTGGGGCACGAAAGTCATTGGGTCGCGCCGCTAAGACCTCTGCAGACCACCCCTGTAATCCGGCGGCTGAGTGCGGCTGCTAGAGCGGCCCATGGGCCTGCTGGGAGTGGGCACAGGTCTGCGAAGACCCGAGAGCTGCTGCCTGGTCTGCCTAGCTTGGGCGGCACGCTCCAGTGCCTCCAGGGCAGCTGACCTAAACAGCTCCCCTGGCTCGAATGGTACGCTACGGAGGACTCTCCTACATGCCTCCGTTAGTGGTGACTGGGCCAGCGAAACCTGGCGAAGAGTCTGTACCAGCGACAAGGCGTCCTCATACAGAGGTGCGTCAACCGAAGGAGGTGCGTCAGCCGAAGGAGGTGCGTCAGCCGAAGGAGGTGCGTCAACCGAGGGGGGGGACGGGGGGGACAGGCGGCCCGCTAGCAGCCCCTACACCGGGCCCAGGCTGAAGGGCCAAGAGGCGACTTCATCATGCCCCTATCGGCAGCTAGCCGATCCACTTTAGAGGACAGCCTGTTTCTAGTCCTTCTATTGGGGGGAGCACACATAGCCATCGCTCCCCTCAAGTCGCCGGGAACGGCCGAATTGATCTGGAGGAGGATGTGACAAGGAGAGGTGTCTGTTGGCTGCTGCCAGACGTTCCACCTCAGTGATTCTAGCCACTCTGAGCGCCTGAGGCATGCAGCTACAGCTCATGCAGGCGTTTACCGTGAGAACCTCCCTCAGATGCTCACATTTCGTCCCCACTGACCGCCAGAGGCGGCCGAGGCAGGAGGGGCAGCGGTCGTGGCCGTCCTCGGGCTCAAAAGAAGCCATACAGGCGCTACATGAATGAGCCATTCTGTAGGTAGCCAGATGCAGCGTAGCCGGGAGCGGGTGTGGGAACACAGCCTTCACCAGCTACCTGCTAAATGGAAAGAGTAGAGCGTTGCTGCTACTCGCCGAACAGAAAGAGGGATGTAATTACACCCACGTTACCGGCAGAGGGAGCGGGAGCGAGAGCACTGCCTTCACTGGTTGAGTTAGAGACGAATGCCAGATGCAGCGTAACCGGGAGCGGGTGCGGGAACACAGCCTTCACCAGCTACCTGCTGAACGGGAAGAGTAGAGCGGTGCTACTACTCAGCTAACAGAAAAAGGGATGTAGCTACATCCGCATTACCGGTAGAGGGAGCGGGAGCGAGAGCACTTCCTTCACCTAGTTGGGTAAAATAAAGAAGCTTAACAGTACACGCAAGACGTTAGCCGAGCAGCTGCTGCTAACGATCAAGCGAGATCAAGTCAAATAACACAAATGTTTAAGACCAGATAACTAGCTTCTAAAGAAGAGAACAGCACAGAGCCGTAGTTACAGCAGTAACCATGGCCAGAACTTACACAGCATAGAGCCGTAGTTACAGTAGTAACTATGGCCATTACTTACGGCTTAAAACCGTAGTTACAGTAGTAACAATGGCCAGTACTTGCACGGCTTGGAACCGTAGTTACAGTAGTAATTATGGCCAGTACTTACGGCTTAGAACCTTAGTTACAGTAGTAACTGTGGCCGGTGACTAAAAGTGTCAGCCAAACGGCTGCCCACTAGATAATATAATATTGGGAGGATGAAATCCTCCTTAATGGCCACACATGCAGAGCACACATCACACAGTGAAGATTGTTCTCTGCATATCGTCCTAGTGCTAGGAGTCTAGTACTAGAAGTCTAGTACTAGGAGTCTAGTACTAGGAGCAGTAAATACAACGATATAGCGCTACTGCAACCATACCATGCGTTTACCGGGAGCGGGAGCGAGAGCACTGCCCTCACCGGCTGAGTTAAATAATGAAGCTTAACAGTACATGCAAGGTGTTAGCCAAGCGGCTGCTGCTAACAATCAAGCAACCAAGTCAGAACACAAATGTTAAGACCAGATAATTAGCTTCTAAGAAAGAGAACAGCCCGCATAGAACCGTAGGCCATGGTTACAGTAGTAACCGCACATGCGGAGCACACAGCACCCGCAGTGAAGATGTTCTCTGCATATCATCCTAGTGCTAGGAGTCTAGTACTAGGAGCAGTAATACAACGATCTAGCGCTACTGCAATCAAACCCTATGCTACCGGGAGCGGGAGCGCTGCCCTCACCGGCTGAGTTAATAGTTAAGCTTAACAGCAAGGTGTTAGCCAAGCGGCTGCTGCTAACAATCAAGCGACCAAGTCAGAACACAAATGTAAAGACCAGATAATAGCTTCTAAGAAATAGAAAGTACTTACCTTACTCTCTGCATCTAAACGAAAAACGGGTTAAATTGAATGAGGGACACAGCCAAAGCTGGGACTCAAATGCTAATGATAGCTCGGGCACAACGCCACAAGCAGAACTTTCAAAAGAGCATAAGGGCAACTTTATGGGAGAGGAAGCGGGAACACTGTCGTCACCAGAAAGTCTAAGCCAAACAAAAAATAAGACAGCAATCAGGACAACTTGGCTGGGAGAGGGTGCGGGGACACAGCCATCACCAGCAACAAGCTGACACCAACCTGTCTGTCGAGGCTCTGCACAGCCGGCCACAGCTCCTGGAGGACGCGTTAACGACCCGTAGCTCCGACTGTCAGTCACGAAGCTGCACGCGGCCAGCTGCTTGCAGAGAAATCCCTCAGA